TGGAAAAAAACTCTCGAAGTTTGGCGCTCACTACGCCAACTAGCGGATGAAACTGAAACTGGCTCGTATCTCAAGGCAAAAAATCGGCCGAACTCCGGCTCGTATCAAGGCATTACTCTCTCTCTCTATTATATATAACTACTGGGATATTCGCCATTAATTACACTAACTTTACTGATTTATTCTTTGTATGAATATTTCTTTGTAATGTAGATATATATATTGTGCGTGTGTGTATGGGCAGCAATCCATCTTTTATACAAGTTTCATTAAAGGCAAATGACAAGGTAATGCGATTAAGTATCAGTCTTGTGCAATGAAGTTTTTTTTTGCAAAACATCACATCCGTCAGCTTTGTTAGCCACTCCCTGCCCACAATCTGGATTTGGCTTGTCGTGGCTTCTAGCTATTAGTTTTAGCTTGTTCATATAAGTGTTTTCTTTTTGAGGCATGGTGTGTAAAAACTGTCCGAATGTTCTATCATAAAACTTTTAACTAGCGTCTGTTGTTGAGTTCTTTGAAGAAAAGTGGATGAGAGGATGAATTCTCGTACGTGCTTTCTCTTTTCTTTAAATAACTCAACAACCTGAAACAGAGGCAAGTTAATAATTGTTTTCCGATAGAACATTCAGACAGTTTTGCACACTTTGAATTCTAGAAAAGAAAACACTTACATGAACACAAGAAAAATTAAATAAAAAGCTTCATTGCAGTACCTTTAATGAAACTTGTATATGTATGTATGAATTGGGATCAAATATGGATTAGAATCTGACAGAATGATAAGGACTAATTGAGAAACGTTTATAAATTTAAGACGTTTCACTTTTCGTCAGAAAATGAAATATATAAACGTTTCCTATTTGCTCCTTATCCTTTCATATATGTATACAAGGTGTTTTAGGTAGCAAGAAGCTCCATGAGGCGCCTCTCATATCAACACACTGGCGACAGAGCGACTACTTGGTAAAGCTGGATTCTGGCGAGATTGTTCCTACCTGGATTAACCTCGCACTTTCCGCAGAACAGCTCTCGTTTCCTGATGCGTAACACACCTAGGAAAGAACGCACATCTTTTCCATGACGTGGAACACCAACTTCTCCTGTTTATTCTGGTCACGTGGTCCACTTTGAATCTTGGAGTGCATTTATATTTCGAGCCTTTGATACAGACAAGATCCCCCACCTTGTACGTCCCTCGTTCATCTTGTGGTTCGGGTGGAAGAACAGCCATTGAAGAGCCTGATTGATGCCTTTTATTACCGCACCGAGCTCAGCCAAATTGATATGCTGGGATCCAATTTCTGAACGCAACCAGCAGGCATCCTCAATCACCGCACCGTTTACTTCTACTAATACTCCAGTCGCAAGGGGGCTAGGCTCGCCCCAAAAGTCCATTTCCTAGCCGGAAGCACACCATTCTTCATTCACAGGATCATTCTGTTTCACTCTGGCAATTCTTTCTTTTATCATCGTCTTCAATGGAGCACCAGTCAACTCTTCATCCCAGTTAGGTGGAATCCGGTGGCCACTCTGGGTCAACCACAGACAGGGAAATGTACAACAACGTTTTCATAAAGAGAAAATACATTCCGTCGCGTGATTGGGTTAGAAATATCGTCCCCTCGCTTCTATCGCAGTGTGTTGCCCCCTCCCCACCAGACTTTAAAGCCGAATAACTACATCCCTTTCTTCAGGCGCTCTGGGTCCCTGCTGTCAAGTCCGAATCATGACAAATACTCCTCGACATACAATACTATCATTAACAAAGATGTTGCCGATGTAAGCGGACGTTGCTTTCTTCACTTTTTTTCTCTTTTTGGCCGTGTGCCACAATTATTGTATTTTTAACAATAATAAATAATGTATCACTACTGTTTGGTATGGCCACAATGATTAGTCAATGCGGACCCGAAGGTAGCCTTTCCACAAATCCAGTAGCGATACATTTGCACCATTTTTCTTTTTACGTCATGACGCAGCATTAGCTTTAAATGTGTCGACGTGTTGCTTGAGCTCTCTCTCCACAACTGGGTATACTTTTTGTTTGTTGTGTTGGATTACGTCTACTAGCGAACCCAGTCCTTTAAGGGGACCAAGTTTTTCTTCAGGGTAGGATAGCAGCCATCCATTTTGTAACCAACTCTGAAGTTCGACTTCGTGACTCCTCCTGACATGTTTGGAAATGCAGTACTCCAATATCTCATTGCAGTGTGTAGGCCACTTCTGAGGGGAGATAACTCCAGCATTTGTCCTGAACACTTCCACTTTGAAGTCCAACAATTCTGGATTTGGTCAAATTCTGCACAGAAATTTGGCTCATCAAGTCGAATTGCCGCGCACATCTTCCTTCTGGCAAAGCTTACTACTCCAGCTGGTGTGATGGTGGCACCACCCACCGCCCTTATGGCGTTGATCCCAAGTATGAGGTCAAACAGCAAGAGTTGCCTGTCTACGACTAAGGCATTAATGTTCATCGGCTCAGCGCCATCTATTCCTAACTTGACTTGGCTTTGTTCGCAGCATTTCAGAGGTTTTTTCGTCAGCCGTCGTTCACATCCCTACGCCTCCAGAAGCGGCACATAAACCTGCTAACCAGTGTCTGCTTACAACCAATGTCCATCAAGCCTGTACACTTCCTTCCATACAAAATTATGTCAGTTGTTGACATACGACGAGATCACCGTCTCACAAACGCAGCGGCAATATTCGCTCGACGTCTAATCTCTTGCAAAGGTCGTATATCATCTCTACACGTTGGATCCATTATATAACTGATTCGTCTGTAGCAGTACCACCAAGCTCTGGAATTATTCGATAGTCAAGTCTTTTGTTCATGATGAAATTCAGTTTGTCGAAATACTTTGTGGTTGATAGTCACAACAAGCCCATTTCAGCACAGGTCAAGATCTATCGATTCTCTCCCAAGTTGTCTGTGCGGTTCACCTTTTATTCAGGTTTTTGACCACGCATGCAAATTATCGATTATTTTTAAAAGCACTAGAACTACGTATGCACTTTACCTAAATTGCAAATGGTGGTTCCGACCAGGCAGGTGAGACACCGTAGCCTCTCAGCCATGTGTAGGTTAGAATTCCTTGGTCCTATTTTACCACAGAAGTATGGAAAGCAAGGCACATTGAAAACTGAATTGTTACAGTTTAAAAGTCGAAGATATTTTTTAAAAACAACAAAAATAAATCAAAAGAAAATGCTACAAAATATTTTAACACTTACTTAGACCATGTTGACTTTAATCGTAGAGAGAAAAAAAACTTGATTGACAAATGGTTTGGACATATTGGTTCAATCTTTTGGAGGTAGGAATGGGAGGGAATCAATGTAAAACTAAAAGTAAAATAATGTTCATGTAGACATCAAGTTTTGTTTGCTCTCTCTCTCTCAGGTTATACGAGGAAAGATTTTGTGGAATCACCAGGTAAAAAAAAACTTGCAAAAAAACTTGCAAAAAGAAAAGAGAGATGGTGAGAGAGAAATAAACTCTTTACTAATTGCCTCGTAGGCTAGTTTATATGCAAACAATTTATCACAACAACAAATGACACATTGGATAACAGTAGTAATTAAAGGAATTAGAAAACCAGCCCAGAACGAACAGTGCTACCTTTGGAAAATCACAAAGAAAAGAAAAAAAGATTAGGGGTGCGTATCTTTCTTCTCATCTTGTCAAGGCTTAATTCAGTGCTGGACAAATGACAGGAATGAAGAAGGGCCAGGTTCTAACAATACAAAAACAGGGAGGACTTGTCAGAGAAAGAAGTTGACTGATCTGTCACTCATAAGATATCGACTGGAGAATTTGTTTTTTGTTTTTCTTTTGTTTAGAAAATATCTACATTTCTTTGAGTCAAATAACTAAAATAAATATTTTACTTACATGAATGCAACAAAAAATATATCTACATTTGGATATAATTTTACAAAGAACTTGTCTAGTATGCCTGACTTAATTCTTGAATACTGACAACCTGTTCCTTCCTGGGTTCTAATATATTCCTATAGTAAAATCATTAGCAATGCATTTACATTCAATATATAATAGACATATTTTATCAAAAATACTGACAATCTCTTTTCTTCTGATTTTCAATGCATTTCCATTAGAGAGGGTTTTATTTTGTCAATGAATTCCTGACCACTGACAATCCCTCTTCCTATGTTTTTCAAAGCTTGATATACAAATTGAATGACAAAACTTGATCAAAGAAATTTAGTAAAAAAAATTGCAAAATTGGCTTTTATCATTTTTTTCCCATATTAGCAGACATATAACATTTATAATTTGTGATTTTGTTATAATCAATCATAAATTATTGTATTCAAAATGTATTTCCAAAGTTGGCTGAAGTAGTAGCTTTAAAATTTAATCTAATATCTTTTCATGAACTTGACCAAATTGGAAAACAATCCATTTTATGAACAATTGTGTGTTTTAATGCCAACCACATTTAAACTCAATAAATAAAAATAATTTACCTGATTTCTTTCTTTCTTGTCATAACTCACTGACTTTACTGTTACACATTTTCCTTTCAACATTTTTTTTTTTTACTCTAATAAACTAAATGGTAATATTAGCTGTTTCATGGAAACATTTGTCATTCATTGTACAGTCAGTTAAAATTTATAAAATCTTTCCATTAAAACAAATTGGTTTATTTTATACAAATGAAATGGTAGCAAATTTTGTTTTGTTGGATTCTACACAATTTAATTTTTGATAATGTTGGATGAATTTTTTCTTGTAATATAATGGTAGGTACAATAAAATAGAAAATAAAAGAAAATAGTGAAATATTAGGAAAAAATTATTAGTAGTTTCTAATTCAGCTGACTACTTACAATCTGCAACATCTGAGGTGATTTTCTGATGATACATTTTGCTATTTAATGATTTTAATTAGGAAACAGTTTAATTCTTTAGAAATCATGGCCAGCATTTTATTTGGGTTGACCTGTTATAAATGCAAATCATTAACTCAAAACAAATCATTTGGGGATATTTTGACTTCAAAAAAGAAAAAAAAAGGATAAAAAAAGAAAAAAAAAAAGGATAAAAAAGATGAAAGAAAGGGAGTAAAAAGAAAATGAGAAAAGAAGAAAAGTAAAATGGGAAAAAATAAAAAAAGAAAGAAAAAGTAAATAAAATGATATTTATAAAGTGATAGAGAAAGGAAAATGAAAAAAAAAAACCTTTGTGATGCGTTCAGCTAAGTGATAAATTAAATAAATCCTTACATTACTGCCATTGGTTGAAATTATACAGTCTGGTTTGCTGTCTGGTCATTGAGCACAACTTGACAATGGAAATTTCTGATTTTACTGCTGTCTCGGTTTTCACAAGAAATAACTTGTACTTTGAATTGGGCTTCAACACAAAAGAAGAAAATCTAAAAGAAAAACGTTGAACAAATATTGAAAAGGCCACCTCTGTTCTTTAACAAGTGATGACAAAATGGTGGGCAGGTCTTGGACTTAAGTTTGTAATTAGACATTACTCTTTCTCTTTGCAAGGAAACTCAAAAGCTCTGTCAAGAATAGCCCACCTCTCAAACAGAACAAAGAATAATTGATCCTTTCAAAGAAGATTGGTCTTAAAATGAATTCTAGAAATCCTGCTGGGTGGCTGAGATAGTAGCATTTTTTTCAACAGCAACAGAGGTTGGTGATTAGCATAAAATACTTACATTTTTCTAGTTAGGCCCATTCCACTTTAAATGCTGGTGCAACAATCTTCCTCACCCTCTTTGACACTATGCCAAACCAAGCAGAATAAATATGAGGCCAATCCATAGTTTTCAGGCATTTTGAATATCTTGAGAAACAAGTTGTGCAGTCTTGATATAACTTGTTAACCAATCAAAAGGGGTCCTTAGTGCACATGAACAGACACTCTCTACTTGGGTTACTCAGTTTAGGTGTCAAACATGTTAGATGAACTATCATAATATGGGATGAGATTTCAAGTTGTATAACTTGAAATTTCATCCCATATTATTAATAGCTAATTCTTTTTGATTTCACACTACATGCTTTCAAAGGTTAAAGTTTATGTCATCCAAGAACTTCATGTTAAAAATGCTGATAAGATAAAGAAAACTAGTCAAAAATTAATAATGAAATTTGCACAGATCCTATTTATATAGACGTGATAATGATAACATTTCTTACTTGTTCAATTATTTGACAATTATTTTTTGATTTTCCTCATTTCAAGAATTGCTAGGAGTATTTATTTTGTTCTTTTAGTTGATACAATAATAAATTCATTCTATGACCTTCTTCCAGTGTACAATTTATATATAGAAAGAAGTGGCTGGGTGATTTTTTTTTGATTTTTTTGTTGGATACAATTTTCTTGTTTGAACTATAGAAAAAAAAAGTTCAACAGTGATTAAAAAAAAAAAAAATGAAGAATTGGAACCTTGAAAGCTTGTGCAAACATATTTAAACTATCAACAATAAACTTGATTGATATGTTGATTAACATAATTTTGTGTAATTGTCTCAGGTAAGCAAGTCTCTTGCTTGAACCACCATAAATTGTGCCCCACCCAGGAAAGAAGGTGATTTGTAGTAAAGCCAAAGCAAACCAATCATAAACAGAGTCTGAAGAAAGTTCCTCAAATTGATTCTAACTGAAAGTGCCTAAATAAATGGTCCTGAATATCATTTGATTTTTAGATGATAGTTCCTGTCTGTCCATAATAAGAGTAAAAATATAACTAGCCCCTGCCGATTCCCAAAAACTGGCGGTGAGGAGGATTGTAGCTGGCCTCTGCTAATGTCCAAAATTGGGGCAAAACTGTAACTGGCCTCTGTGCCAATATCGCAAATTGAGGGTAAACCCCTGTCAAAGCTCAAAACTGGGGAAAAACATGTAGCCAGCCCCTGCAGATGTCTTAAATGGAGGAGGGACACTAACTGTTCTATACTGATATTCAAAATCACAGAGAAGCCATACATAGATAGGCTTTCTTTCTTTTATTCCATGAGAAAGCTGAACTGAAATACACTCTCAGTACATAAGACATTACAGAGATGTTATTATAGTTCTGAAGGATTATTTTCAGTTTTCTTTATAAGATAAACAAAACCTTTTCCATTGATACTTAATTAAACAGCTAAGGATACATGATCAATATTTGACCACAAAAAATTCTTTTTCTTAATTGCATCTCTACCATACTGTAGGTATTTTACTAAAAGAATCACTTTAAAAAATAAAACTTACTTTAACACACATGTCAGTAACTTCTTCTATTGAGCTTGTTTAACCAACCATGGTGTTGGGTTAAGATTACTTGGGAGGACAGTTATTGGATATAAAATGACCATTGCCTTGAAAGAAACAAGTGATTTTTTTTTCCACATGCATTCACATTAGCACATGTAGATAAAGAAAAGTAACACTAACTAAATAAACTTTGCACAGAATAAAATAATTTCACATTTTGCTTTGTGCACAATGACTTTGTGCCATTCTTACTCTGTGAAAAAAAAAAAAAAAAAATGAAAAGAGCTTCAGTTCCCCAGAGTTTTAAACTTTCTATTTTTGATTTGATTGGTTGATTTGTTTAATGGTATATCAACACCTTATAGCTCATTTAATGTTGAAATTTATTTTTCTTAGGAGCTTTGAAGTAATAAAAAATGATATACAATGTATCCATAAAGTCTCTTTACAATTTAAAAAAATATATTACAAAGGCAATTGATGAGATATCTTAATCAGATTTGTTCTATGGACTCAGTAGTTATCAAAGTTTTTAATCACATTGCATTTGTGTATTTCAGGTATGCTGTTAATGAAAAATGTACTGTTAAATTAACCCCTAAAAATGGCTACTCCTCAAGAAAAAACACAATGTGTACCATGATTTATTGAAACAAAATCAGATATGCAGACTCAGTGAAAGTACAGAACTTCTTTCTATGGGGTGATAATAAAGATATATGGGATGATATGGGGTGATATTAAAGATATGTTTCAAACAAAGATACTTGACATCACTGATCTAAGTCAAAAGATCACTGATGCCATTGCCACTACTGATGAAGGTATGCTACAGAGAACATGGTAAGAAATCAAGTACCATCTTGATGTGTTTCATGCAACTAATGGTGCCTATGTAAAGGTGTATTAAATTAAAAGACTTCAATATCTACTTCTCATTTTGTAACAATTTCTACATATTTGACTGTTCATTTGTTTTTGCAATAATTATAAAGAGACTTTATGTATGTTATTCTGCTTTCACAATGGAATACATGGGAGATAATACTAAGCTTTTGTGCATATACAAGTTTGTGTGGATATGATTACTAGGAGGTGGTGATATGTGTGTTTTATGTTGTAGTTTTGTTGAAGTTATATTTTGAAATATAGTTTGATTTCCTTAAGAAATTTTAGGATATTATATGGACTAGTGTCATGAAAGAGTTCTTTCATGTTGGTTGTTTGATTTAGTGGCATATCAACACCTCTATGGGTTACCTAATGCTGGAATCTAAATATTCTATGTACAACTTTATGCCTTCAACCACAGATATTTTGTATATAATTTTATACTTTCAGGATAAAGGTATATTTTTTAGATATATATTTTGTAGATCATAAAATGTATTGTTGGTAATTTTACTATAAAAATGTACTTTTGATTTTTATCTGGGAGTTCACTATTTGCTCATAGCTGGGACCCTAATAGGTGCTACCACACCAGGTCAGGGTGGACCTGAGAACAATAGCAATTAAGAAGTGATTCCATGATCCTCAAAATCTCCAATGTCCTGACCAGAGGCCTTGCTGCTGGATGTAGTATATCATCATATCTGGGATGCATTTTTCATTTGATATTATACAATTATTTTAATTTTTTAAAATTATTTATTTGAATTGTTATCTTCACCTTGATTGTTACAGTCAAAATATTTCCACATCTCTACCCTCCTGTTTTTGGGATAACAACTATATTCTCTGAATTTCAAACTAAATTTTTACCAATATAGCAAACAATTACCATATTTCGAGGACTACTACAGTCGACCCTATATTGATTCTGATTTTCTTTTTCAATAGCACAGAAAATACAAATTCCTTTTTGATGTAAAACTTAGTTTTCTCATTCCTCACACTCCTAGATAGGTGACTGCTTGGGAATACCAGGTGCTGTAAGCTTGGATGTGCAGGTGGTGTAATGGATAACAGCTCGTAATTGGAAATCTGAGAGCTGAGTTCCAATTCCAGTTGGGTTTGTTATATTCACTTATGTGCAAATACCCTTGGAAAAGGTATGAAGCAATCACTTCTTTCCATCTCAGCTACAGACTTGTATCAGCAAATCTTTATTATCTCAAAAAAAAAAAAAAAAAAAAAAAAATCTTACAAGCTAAAAATAATTTCTGGCTTTAAATAACCTGCAAAAGGTTGATAAACCATAAAAATCAACAAATCCATCAATCAATCTATGAGTGATATCATATGTAGGTATATGAAGAAAAAATCTTTGACAAAACAGGTAAGAAAAGCAGCAGGAAAAATCTTTTAGTAATAATAATAATACTCTAGACGAAAGGAGACAAAAGCAGTTGATTTACAAGTATGGAAAAAACATTTTAGAAAAGCAAAACACCAATCAAGAAATCAGACAAAAAAAAAAAAAAAAAAAAAAATCATTTTCAGTTAAAATATATGCAAATGCAATAAGGTATGACTAGTGAGTAACTAATATTGCAGCATTATAACATTTGTCTTGTAACTCAAGAAAGAAATGAAATTTAAACAAAAAATATACTTACTGGTGTCTTATGACTCTTTCAGTTGATAAATTAATTTAAATTTGATAAAGGTGAGTAATTTCCAAATATTTTATAGCATACCTAAAAATAAATAAATAAAAAGTGTTAAATGGCTTAAAACCGAGATAAGAGAAAAGAGAGTAAATGACATAAAATGGGATCAAAATTAAAATTATAATGAAGGCTCAAAAAACAGATAAAATTTAATTAAAAAAAAATGATTTCAAACATTCTCAGTCCAACCTTGAGGCCCTTAAAAATAAATTTATGATGTTTGGTCATTTGGTCAACTTCTTTTCAGCACCCTTTCATTATAGGCATACAGGGTGCGATGGGTAAATTGTCGCCACTTTATATTTCTAATTTCACACATTCTTCTTGTTTTTGTTGACTGCACGGTATACTAATGTCA